TCTGGGGATTGCAGCCCCTCTGAGCCACTCTGGGGATTGCAGCCCCTCTGAGGAAGCCATTTCCAGGATCACATTGGAAAGTTCTTTCTGGCAGCACTGAAATCTCTCAAGTAGGTGCTGCAAAGGCTTTCCAGGGTCTGACCAGTCCAACAGTTGCCAAAGGCATTCCCAGCTGAGTCTTTGCTGGTCACTGCAAGGCCGTGGTCACCTCCTGGATAAAGGGGGTTTCAGTTGGTTACAGCTGAAATGGTGCAGCAGCCAAAGTACAACAACTCCAATCCTGTTCCTTGTGCTGTTTTCATGTAGAGCAGGCAGGGCTCAGCTCCAGCCCTGAATTCCCGGGTGGTTCTGAGTTTCTCTCTCTCATTCCTGACCCGAGCAGCTCTCCAGAGCACCCCTTTGCTTTGGGGGAGTTGTGTGAGGATGTCTTGGCCAATCTTTGGTCTGTGAAGCTGTGAGTCAGGTCTGCTCCTCTCCCAAGGAACCATTCCAAACCTGGCACTCGGAGTGTTTTCAACAGCTTCTCCAACTTCCTGCTCAATGTACAGGTTGGGTGTAATTAAGGGAGGGGGAAGGGGAGCTGAGAGGGCCTTTAGGACAGATTTCTTTCAATTTATTGATTCCGAGCACAAAAATTTCACAGATGGGGAGCAAATTGAAAAAAAAAAAATACACAATGTTCTTGAAAGATTTGCTGCTGATGGGCTGGGCTTTGATGCTGCTGCTTCCGTGGGGCTGTTTTGTGTTGAGTGGGTACTTGTGTGGCTCTTGGTGAGGAGCACAGAGATGAATCCTGGAGAAAATGAATGTCAAGGAAATGGAGAGACACTGAATGTCAGGTGTTATTCACGGGAGGAGAAAAGCTCTTCCAGAACAGCTCCAACAGAACAAAGCTTTAGCTTTCTGGGATGTAAATTAGAGAGGGAAAACAACTCTTTTAACAAAACGTGTTCAAGTGTCACTCTGATTTTGGGCTCTGTGTGGCTTCAATTGTGCTTCTCCCCTTCCTCCTGGTGCCCGAGGAGCTGTGGAGCTGCACCAGCAGTGACTTTGCTTTGTGTTCTCTCCCTGTGCTCCCCAAGACGACGGTGCCATCAGAGTGTGGAAGAACTTTGCAGACCTGGAGAAGAACCCAGAGATGGTGACAGCCTGGCAGGGGCTGTCAGACATGCTGCCAACCACACGAGGTGGGTTTTTTTTTGGGATGGAAGGTGAAAATCAGCCTTTGTACAGCTTTGTTTGACCTCCTTTAGCCCCAGCTCTGATTTTGGCACTCGTTTTTCGCTGTTTATTGCGGGTCAGGAGCTGGCAAAGGAGCCTGTGGTCTAAATCTGGTCTAAATCTGGCACATGCAGAAGGACAGCACAGTGAGACATCGGCCTGCTTGGAGTGTGAGGAAAGCTGGGTGGAAAAGGGTGGAAAAAGGAGCACTGGCATCCAGCCACGCATGGGATGCAGCCAGAAAAGCAGTTTGTGTAACCCTGAAAGGTGGTTTAGGACGTTACAGGAGGGTATAGGGCATTACAGGAGGTTTTAGGGCATTGCAGGAGGTTTTAGGACCTTACAGGAGGCTTTAGGACCTTACAGGAGGGTTTAGGACCTTACAGGAGGTTTTAGGACATTACAGGAGGTTTTAGGAACTTACAGGATGTTTTAGGGCCTTACAGGAGGTTTTAGGGCCTTACAGGAGGCTTTAGGACCTTACAGGAAGGTTTTAGGGCATAACAGGAGGTTTTACAACATTCCAGGAGGTGCAGATGTTCCATCCTGCCCAGACCCCATCAGGTCCCAACGCTCTCATGGCGATTCCCTGTCTCTGGAATATTTTCAATCAAGGCTCCAGGTTTTTTTTGTGTGTGTGTGCTGTGGTTCAATCAGCTCTTTGTGGGATTGATGGAGGAGGTGCAGGATGAGGTTTCCTGGCCTGTGCTGTGCACGAGGCCAGATGAGATGACCATCATCATTCATGCTGACCTTAAAAGCTGACAGCTCTCATTTCTGAGCCCGTGTTCTCCATCCCAGGAGCCTGACACAGCTCTCTCAGCTCTTCATTGCATTTCCCAGCACTGCCCTGTTTTTCCCTGAACTCCTCCCTGTTTTTTCTCAGTGTTTGGGGCACTGGAGGCTCTGCCTTGCTGAGGGCTGTGCCCAGAGCTGATGAGGAGCTGCTGGAGRCTCAGATCCTGCTGTGCAGGTGGCAGAAGGTGCCCTTTCCAAGGTGGCAGCAGGAGCTGGGGCACAGCAGGCACAGGAGTCGTGATGAATTTCCCTTTGTGGTGCCATTCTGTAACTCTGTGCCAGCAAACACCAGCTTTCCTGGCTGCTGCTTGATGTTTCCCACTCCTGGATTTCAGGATTTTGTTCCTTGTGCTGGGAGTACCCCCCAGGCTGCCCCCTGGCCCTGATCGTGCTCAGGGTGGGCACTGACCCCAGAGTTCCCTCTGTCCCATCCCCCTGTCCTGCCTTCCTGGCCATGCACGATTGAACCCCAAAAGGACTGTCAGGGTCACCCTGGGCAGGATTTAACCCCAAAAGGACTGCCAGGGTCACTTTAGGCAGGATTGAACCCCAAAAAGCACTGTCTGGGTCACTTTAGGCGAGATTGAACCCCAGAAAGGACTGTCAGGATCACTTTGGGCAGGATTTAACCCCAAAAGGACTGTCAGGATCACTTTGGGCAGGATTTAACCCTGGGAAGGACTGTCTGTGTCACCCTGGGCAGGATTGAACCCCAAAAGGACTGTCAGGATCACTCTGGGCAGGATTTAACCCCAGAAAGGACTGCCAGGGTCACTTTAGTCATGATTTAACCCCAGAAAGGACTGTCAGTGCCTGACACTGCAGGACAGGCTCAGAGCTGAGCAGGAGCTGGGAGCTCTGGGTGGTGGCACTTGCCAAAACAGGACTGGGGAAACTTTTAAACCTTTTCTCTTTAGAACTGTTTTTTTTTTCCTTGCCTTTTTCTTTTCCTTGTGGACCAAAGCAGTCTGGGGCCTGTTTCCTTTGCCTTCCACCTTCCCAGCAGGTTGGGCACAAGACAAGGACAGATCTGTTTGTGGAGAGACAGATAAATGTAGCCACTTGAAAAGGGCTAAGTGGAGCAAGTCCCCGTGGAAATGAGAGCCTTCAGAGTCATCTGCTGCCAAACCCACAGCTGTGCTCCAGCCCTGCCTCAGAAAACTGAAGCTGCATCTTTGAAGCTGCAGAGCTCAGGAGTTTTGCTGGAGTTTGTTTGCTCCCACTATCGATTTCCTGCCCTCCTGTCWCAGCTTTCCCCTGGGTCACATTGTCACACTCACCTCAGGATTGTTGAGAGCAGCCAGAACATGAGCAGAACGTGATTTTCSTGGGCCTTTTTCCCACTTGGAAAAGGGGAGAGGAATGTGTAGCAGTGCAGTRCATCCTTTGGGAGATTGAGAAGCACCCCTGGGCTGCCCAGGTGTCACTGCAGCGCTAAACAGCGACAAAAAAGAATAGATAYAAAACACACAAAAGTGGGTGAAAAAACAGAAAGAAAGAAGGACTTTATTGTGGGACAAGCCACTTTTATCCACTTTAGCAACCAGAGTACACATTTGTGTCAAACATACATTGGTCAAGAGACAGCTGTTTAATTAGTAATCAGAACATAATTGGTGAGTTTGCAAAAGCTACAGTATTAGTAATGCTTATAATTTTCAGCCACCTGCGTTATCAATTCTGCATTCCAATCTGCTTTTCTCAAGGATACAGCATTCCTCCTTCATGTGGGCAGTTAACACTCCTTTTCTTTTCCCAGGCCTCAGTCATACACAATAATTGCCTGAGTTTCAGAATCAGGGTCTGTGGGGCCCCGTTCCCCCACACCCAGGTAATGCCAGATGGGCATTTCCAGACTCAGGGACTGTCTGAGAGCAGGTGAAGCCCACAACTCCCACATTTTCCCCTGAGAGCTCTGAGCTGAGCTGGCACAGCCCGAATAGGGYTGATCTTGGCCCCAGCTCGTGGCTCTGAGTTTCTGACTCAGGGTGGGTGATTTCAGCACTGAGCCCCCTCTGTTCTGTGGGAGGCATTTGGCTTCTGATCTTGTTTAGARCTGAGGCACCAAGGAAAAGGTTCTTTTTCAAAGAAGATCAGTGTGTGGAAAGCAGAATTGGACCCTTTGTGAGGCAGGGACTGGGAATCTGCAGCGTGAGAGGTGGAGGGAGTGAGAGAAAGGCTCCTGAGTCCCCTGGGGTGTCAGGGAGGGCAAAAGCAGCGTTTTTTCTTGAGCAGTGTAGGAAGAGCATTGTCCTGACGTGCTCTGAAGCCGTGCTTTCACAGCAGGAAACTTTGGGAATTCCAGCAATTTCCATAGGAAGGTTTGGGGACTGTTTGCAGGGATCATGGCCTGGTGTGAGCTCTGCAGGAGCAGCGTGAGCAGATGTGACAGGAGCAGGCACAGCTCTGTCCTTGAAAGCAGCACAGCTCTGGAATTTGGGACAATGCCCAAGCGTGAGCAGCTGGCACAGGATCACCACCCAGCTCCTGGAGTGCTCTGGGCAGGGTTTTCCCTCTCAGTTAAAGGCTCAGCAGCTTCTGAAGGGCTTGGCCATGGCCCTCCTGGAGCTTTCCTGTGCAGGAGAGGGAGGAGAGGCCCTGGCTCAGAGTGCCCAGAGCAGCTGGGGCTGCCCCTGGATCCCTGCACAGATCCCACGAGTCACTGGGATTCCATCTCATCTCCTCCATGTGCTGAGAGCAGGGAGCAGCTGAGGCTGAGGATGCTCTGCTGGGTCCTGTAGAGCTCGAGCCTCACTGCACGGCTGGGATGGGATGGGATGGGATCCATGGGATGGGATCCATGGGATGGGATGGGATGGGATCAGCCATGTGGCCACGGAGCCACAGCCAGGCTCTGCCTGCCCAGGGTGCTGGGATGGGATGAGATCAGCCCCGGAGCCATGTGCTGCTCTGGGTGCTGCTGCTTCTCTTCATATTCTGTCATGGCATTGCTGTTCCTAATGATGTTTTTGAGCTGTTTTTATGCTGCCCTGAGCACCACCCCTGCTCTCTGTCTCCTCCCAGGTCTGGCCCGAAGGGTGTCCATCTACCTTGACMGGAGTAAGCAGGGAGGTGAGTGCTGTTCCCATTGCCTGGGCTCAGGTGGGTGGGTGGGAGCCCCTCRGGGGTTGTTTGGGGTTTTTGGTGTGCTTGGACCCAGGCTGCTGGGTCCCTGTGGCTCCTTTGCTTCCACCTCTGCCACCCCTGCCTGGTGTGTGTGTCTGGGACAGCCTTGAGGRGTGCAGGGAGGGATTGAATCTGTGCTCCCTGTGCGGGGAATCTTGGTGTCAGTGTTTCTGAGCTCCCTGCAGCCACAGGAGGTGTGGGGTGGGGATTTGGGAATCCAGAGCATCCCTAAGCAGAGGTGTTTGAGTGGTTCCAAACAGGAGCCCCCGTAAAGCTGCTGTTGTTTGTGACAGCCCTGGGCTGCAGATCCTGTGCAAAGGACACGCTGCAGATCCTGCCCAGGAGCCTGAGGATCGTGGATCCATGACAAAGATACCCCTGAAAGGAAAGGGGAAAATTTAGATTGGATGTGTGGGAGGAATTGTTCCCTGTGAGGGTGGGGAGGGTGTCCCTGGCAGTGCCCAGGGCCAGGCTGGACAGGGCTCAGAGCACCCTGGGACAGTGTGAGGTGTCCCTGCCATGGCAGGGGTGGGATGGGATGAGCTGTGCCCACCCAAACCCTGCTGGGATGCTTTGGACTCACCCAAATGTCCCAAACTCTGCTGTGTCACTGGAAGGAAGGTGCAGGCAGTCCCACCCTTCACCAGAGCTCTGTGCAGGGTCTGTGTGTGTGCAGCTCTGCATCCTGACCCCCTCTCCCTGCAGGACTGGGAGCAGATGGCTGATGTGTCAGGGAACCCCGGGGGTGCATCCAGGGCTGCTCACGGTGACGTGCAGGATGTTCATCCATTATTAATTATTAATATTTGCTGACTGCTCAGAGCTGCCTGTGTCTGGGCTGATTAATCACCCTGGCTCCTGGCAGGGGCTGATTCAGAGCTCGTTAGTGGAGTTGAGTGAATCTCTGCGAGGCTGTGGGAGCTGGGGCACGAGTGAGCAGAGCTGATGTGTGCCTGGTGATGCTGCTCCCAAATCCCCTGCAAAGGCTAAAATTAGCGGGGAATGCCCTGGCTGGTAGGAGAGCTGGGCACGGGGTGGATGCAGGGAATGCTCTGCCCACTCGGTGAGCCAGGCACAGGGCTGCAGGGAATGTTCATTCGGTGAGCTGGGCATGGGATGGGCTGCAGGGAATGCCCTGCTTGCTGGGTGAGCTGGGCATGGGGCTGCAGGGAATGCCCATTCAGTGAGCAGGGCATGGGATGGATGCAGGGAATGCCCTGGCTGGTAGGAGAGCTGGGCATGGGGC